CCCTCAGTGAGAATTTGGGAGTCTTTACTTTCTGGTGGGAAAAGTGTCCAATTTCTAAGCCACAAGACTTTGGGCTTCACTCTTGTGATGTTTAAATGCAGAAAGCCTGTTAGTGGCCCAGGGCTGAATTCTGCCTGTTCAAGACCTCAGGCAATGGGAAATTCTATATAATTTCCTGCACTTCTCCCCCGAGTAGTACCCCTCCCCCCTCAACAAATGCACACAATGCATTATTAACCTATGGAACTCTCTGCCACAAGATATCACTGAGGCCAAGAGCTCAGTCGGATTCAAAAGAGGATTGCACATTTATACGGCTTATGACCGCATCTCTAATGGCATTAGGCAGGGTAAATAGATATGGTTAAGAGTTATAAGTCCTTCTGTTGCCCAGCCCTAACTGACAGGGGTTGGGGAAGGCACTTCCCTTGAGGGCTGGTTATGCGAAAGTTGCACTCGAAGGGGCTTCTTGCATCTTCCTCTAACGCAGCTGGTGCTGGCAGAGACCAACTAACCCAGCCTCTACCTGAAGCCCTGGCCTGATTTGGTAGAGCAATTCCCGGGCCAGATTCTTTTCTGGTGTAAGCAGATGGAACGCTATGGAAGTCAGTGGAGCGCTGCCCATTTACTGCGGAGAATTTAGTCTCCTGAGAGAGAAGGAGGAAGCATTTCCCTGGCCAGCTGGTTTATTTGGAACCAGCGACAGGGCTCAGATAAATCCGGGGGAGATGGATCAGCAGGCAGGGAGGAGCTGGGTGAGTGAACAAAGTTAACAAGAAGTATTAGTCCCTTATTCCAAATCACTGATCACTGCCCTAGAGAAACCAAGCATGTGCCTGTCTGCAAGTTAAACATGCCAGAGGCGGAGAAAAGCTGTGTCTTGTGGTCTTATAAGCAAAAGAGTAAAGACACAGTGGTTAGTATGGGAGACAGGACCTGAAGGAGCCTTTGAGAGCCATACACAGGTGCCCCATGCTGACCCCTGCCCCTCATGAGAAGCAGCAGCTGCAGCTGAGATACAGAGGAGCCATTAACGGCTTAATTCAATCCAGCTACAGACCTCGGTTCAATCCTTTATCTTTGATGCTTAGAGGCATTTCAACCCACAGTCCTTGCTGTTAAGACGACCCAGCTCGAAATACCAGGCCCCATTTTCCTCTCACTTCAGGCCTGGTCCAAAGCCCAGGGAAGACACCCGTTGAGTTCCGTGGGCTTTGGGTGAAGCCTACGCTGCTGTCAGTCCGTCACAGCTCCCCCGAGACAATGGAGTCAGCCCAGCAGAGAGCTGGTGTGGGAGGGAAGCCAGGCCCCGTGAGCCACGTCTCCTTGGGACGCGAGGGCCACGGAACATCCATGCACAGCACACAGGAGTTTGCTTCCCCGTGACGTTTTGTTCATGAAAGAAACAATTTAATTCTTATTGTTGCAGACACCACCAAGCTGAAAACCATCAAAACCACAGCATGTAACCATGCCCATGCCAGCCGTCCTGCTAACCCCTGATCATTCTGGGGGATTCTTAGTGTAATATCGGGGATAATGGAATCAGAGTAAAGCTCTCAGCTGGAGGTACTGGGCCAAATCCTCAGCTGGGGGTACTGGACCAAACCCTCAGCTGGTGTAAATCAGCAGCGTTCCATTAGGCTGTACTCATCTGCAGCACCGGACGATTGGCCCGCTAATTGTAAGGGAATTTGTTTGACTGAAGGGAAAGCTCCTCCTTGCTTTTAAGGCACTCCATCCTGCCTCCCAGCCACCACCTCGTTTTCTGGCCTTCCCTGTCTCCCTCCGGCTCCTCCTCAATCCTTCACACGACTTCACGAGTGTCACTGAGAGAGCCTTCTTGTCTGCAACTCCTGTTGTCTGGGGCTGCTGCCCCTTAGCTCTTCCTGAATCATTTGTCCTGGATTGCTTCCCATATTTGTGGATGGAGCTGGTCAAAAAAATGGACACAATTCTGAAAGATTCCAGGGACATTTTTTCCCCATTTCTGTCCGAGTTTTCTGACCAGCTGTATTTACAAAGCTTAACTGCTCTCCTTCCTTGTAATTCTTTTACTCTGCCAAGAATTCTGAGCTCTAGCTTCTCTGAAGGGCCCCGTACAGAAGTAGGGATTCTATTGTGCAGAATGCCACTTCTGTTTAAGTCACACAATCCACGTACCCTGTACAGTTGATCTCAAGAATTAGTTATTTGCATTACCGCAATGCCCAGGAGACCCAGTCATGGATCAGGACCTATTGCACTGAGCGGTGTGCAGACACAGATCCAAAACAGGATGGTCCTGATCCCAAAGAGTTTGCAATTAAGTAAACTATTTATATTGGTAACCACACCAACAGTAATAATAAATAATACCAACACCAAGCTCTTATATAGCTCTTTTCATCCATGGATCTCTAAGTGCTTTACAATGAAGGTCAGTATCATGGTAAATTGAACAGATTTATTTAAAGGGGCACAACTGATGAGACTTAATTTACACTTAAATGTATTGAGCTGTGAAAGAAAGGGATGTTTCTGGCAATACCAGAGAGCTGACTCATCTAGCCCTCTCTTGGTCTTGACAGCTACCCAGTTCTGAAAACTAAAAAGCGATCCCCAAATACACACCCGCACTGGCATAATGCCTTGTAATCCCCGAACAGTGAGCTCCACCAAGCTACGGCCGAGCGCATGGAGAGGCAGCTGTTCGGCACTGCTCGGTAGTGGTGGGGCCTCGGCTGGAGTACTGCATCTAGTTTTGGACAGCACACTTTGAAAAGGATGTGGAAAATGGAGAGAAGCCAGAGGAGAGCAACAAACATGATGAAAGGTTCAGGAAACCTGACCTATGAGGAAAGGTTGAACGAACGGGGCATGTTTAGACCACGTCTACACTAGCGAGCTTACCATGGGGCAGCTGTACGATGCAGCGGTGCTGCTGTCAGATCGCTCACGCAGCCGCTCTGTGCTGGCGGGCGAGCTCTCCTGTCGACCTCATAAAACCACCTCAACAAGCAGCGGTAGCTACGGCGGCAGGAGACAGCGCTGTGCACACAAGCAGCACAACTTATATCATTTGGGGGGGGGGGGGTCCCACACCCCTGAGCGACAAAAGTTTTGCCAACATTAGTGGTAGTGTAGACATCGCCTCAGTCTTGCGAAGAGAGGGCTCAGGAGGGACCTGATAACAGTCTGCAAATATAAAAGGGATGTCATAAAGGGGATGGTGATCAATGGTTCTCCATGACTACCAAGGGTAGGACAAAGAGGAATTGGCTTAGTCTGAAGCAAGTTTTTGAGAACAGATTAGACAGAAGACCTCTCTGGGATGGGCCTAGGTGTACGTAATCATGCCTCCTCACTGGCGAGGCGCAGGGAATGGACTAGGGGATCTTCAAATTCCCTTCCAGCCCGGCACTTCTGTGACATTATCGCCCCGCAGGGTAAGAAGGGGAAATAGGAGTTATTTGAGTGGTTTAAAACTGGAGCGCTTTGTCCTGTCGAGTTCATACCATAAGGAACAACCCTGACCTGGTCAGGGAGCAGAGCGAGGGGGTGACGAGGCCGTTTACACTCCCGACTGCTCGGACTGTGATTACAGCACGCGAAGAGGCTAATCCAGGGTCTGAGCTCTGATCCCACAGCGCTTACACAGGTATCCACAAAGTGATTTCATCTCGCAAACAGAACGCCACAGAGGAAACTACAGGAGAAGCTGATCGACAGCTCCCAGAAGGAGGAAAAATATGCGTAAGAGCCACAGACCCACTGGGCACCTTGTCCTCATTGGGCAAGCGAACGTGTTCACTGGTGCCACGTTTTCTCCTTCAAGTCGCGAGACACAGGTTCGCATTCAGTCCTACAGTACCTGCTCTGACCAGAATTCCTAGGATTCCAGGGTGGTGGGACAAGACGACCCCAGAGCTGCTTCAGTCCATGCGATAGCAAACGTGCTGTCCTTCGGTCGGGAGGTAACTAGGGGCAGCTCTGCATCAACCAGTGGTTTAAGTGCCACCTTTGGTCCTAGAGGTTGTGGCGATAGCCACATTACAGATCAATTAGCCAGTTACCGAAAACCAAACTATGCTATTTCCTATTCAGTGGTTCTATCCTCAGTCCCCCATCCCAGCCACACACACACGTTTTTAAGTCAGAGTAACAGCAGAATTACAGTACTCTGGATCCACACTGGAGTTAGTGAGGTCAGAGTCTGGCCCATAGACTCTACAAATATCCGAATGGAAAATTTATCAACAACAATTTCCTTGTCACATAGCACAGTGTGAAGTTATTTCAAGCGTAAAATATTTCTAGCAAAGAACTGCCTTATTTAGTAAATCATTGTGAATCATTGATTTACTTCAAATGAGAATCTGATGAATAACCTCATGCTTTTTTCAGAGTAACAGCCGTGTTAGTCTGTCTTTGCAAAAAAGAAAAGGAGTACTTGTGGCACCTTAGAGACTAACCAATTTATTTGAGCATGAGCTTTCGTGAGCTACAGCTCACTTCATCAGATGTTAGCTCATGCTCAAATAAATTGGTTAGTCTCTAAGGTGCCACAAGTACTCCTTTTCTTTTTGCGAATACAGACTAACACGGCTGTTCCTCTGAAATCCATCAAAATAAGCAGAATTACTGTGGTGTGGAAAACAGGACCTATTATGATCAGGTACACTGGTGTATATCAGGGTATCTCTGTGAAGGCAATGTGTGGTCGCACTGATGTAAAACCAGATCAGATCCAGCAGATTCAGTAACCTAACACAGCAAGACCTGAGGTAAGTGACCATCCAAAGGCGCAAACAGATGTGTGCCTTCAACTAAAGGTCGAAGAATACTGCCCTGAGACTACATGGAGATAGCTGGAGGTAGTTGCTAAAGACAGAGGAAGAGTCTATTTGACAGTGGACCTTATGACAGCTCCTACTGTGCCAGGTTGTCTGAAGTGTTCTCAACATAGCAATGCACTTAAAAAACAGCTCTGAAATCACCAAACCGGGCAATGTACTTACTGAGCTGTAGAGATATCCCTCGCCATTCATGGCGAACGTAGAGACCTGCCTTCACCCCCTGGATCGCCACCACACGAAGGCCCACGGGAATTAGATTGAAGAGGGCTGCAGTTGGAAGAAGAACAGGGGTAAGCAACTGTTACTGAAGGTCGCCTTTCCATGTGGCCCATGTTCCCTGTTTTCATTGTCAGCTAGTGCCCCTCACCCCTTTACACAAGAAGCAGAGTTACAAACATCTCCAGGGATTTGAAGTACAGGGAAAAGTCTGTAACTTGCTTTCAAGGGTCACCTCAGGGTGGGTTGTAAAAGTTCCAGTTCTCACTGTATCCCAGAAACCTGCAGCCCATCATCCATCTGGTCACTGCTAGCCAAGGAATAAAGACTCTCAGGAGGAGCCAACCTGGACTCCGGTGTCTCCATGACCTGAGTCCTCTGTGCCTTCTGGAAGTGGTGCCAGGCAGCAGGAAAGGACAAGACTCTTCAATGCCCCATTTTACTGCCATCCTATTGATTTAAGCATCGCAGCCACTTCCTCTCCCGATACACTACAAAAGGTAACTATTGCTGGATGCCACACAGCCACTCGGACTCAGAGAGGCGACCTCTCTCTCACGCACGATGGTATTTTTGCTATTATCTGTAACGTAACAGGATCGGAAAGGCTGCTGGCGTTATTATATGAAATGTTGATGCATTAATTGTTTCTACTATTGCTACCTGTAATACGGGCAGCACTGAGATACCCCAGCTGAGATCAGGGCCCCACGGTGCTGTATTTGGGGTCTGTAGGTGCTACTCTATGCACAGTAAAAGCCAGTCTCCGCCCCAGAAAGCTTACAGTCAAGATAGACAAGACAGAGGCTGAGAGAGGACATAGAGCCATAGAGAGGTGAAGTGATTTGCTCAAGGATCTTACAGGAGGTCAGCAAAAGAGCTAACAACAGAACTCAGGTCTTCTGAATGACGGCCGGGTGCCCTATCCATTAGACCACACTGCCTCTCCCCATTAACCAGCAACATTTCAGAAACCTCTACCAGTGGCTCAGTCTAGCTTTTCCAGAACCACATAGATACTGTCCAGTGTCTCATGACCTTCTCCTGCCAGGAACAAGTCCAAGTTAGGGACTGTCCCTCTCCAGGAGTATAGAACTCCTCCCATCTGTTTGCCTGGAGGAGTGAGAAAATATCAGATCTTACACACATCACTTTTGTGGGAGTTAGTACTGACTCTCCTAAACCTTGGACTAGGGTAATTATGGGGGCAGTGGGGAGACAAATTAGCAAACACTTCACTGGTAGCTTGTTTTATAATTATTCACTCATTCATTCAAAAGGCGTCTGTCTGAGGTTTCTCAAAGGGTTTGGAATGTTTAAATTAGTCTCCGGGGGGGGCTGTATCAGTGGGTAGAAAGCAGGGGAGGTGCTCAATGATCAATAGCATGCCTTTTATCACATGGCTTTGCAGTTTATTGCCTAGCTATTGACATAAGTATACCTAATCATTCAATTTATTTTACAGATAATTGATATAATTGTACAGCTAGTAAATCACTTTGTAAAGTGAGCACAGCACAGTGGGGACTTTGGATGAAAGGTGATATCCAGATGCCAATCACCTTTTTCACCTCCCACTGCCCTGCCCCCTTCTCTCTTGGGAGCCACCTATGCCCCAGCATGCTAATGATTCAGTGTTATTGCGACACAGACTGCTTTAGTGCTAACCCTGGTTTAACAGAGTGGAATAATTCAGATCCAAGTCAGACTAAGGTTACCAAAGAGACTGTTTGCATGCACATGTGCTGGGTAGGACCGATGGCTTCAGCTGCACCAGGAGAAAACAAATACAACAACAAGCCATAAACCCCAGAGTCTTTTCCACACGAGACCTGGGAGCCAGCTGCAGAGAGGGCGCTTGTTTAGACTGTTTTGCCAGAGAGACAGTTTTCAGTGACCTCCTCTCACACACCCTAGTGCAAGCAAGGGGTAACTCCGCAGAAGGTCACTGGAGTTGCACAGCTGAATGAGAGACAAATCAGGCCCACGGCATCTGGGAATTATTTGAAGCATTATGGGAAGGCCAGGTACGCCGCAACGGCACTGGCCTAGGGCTGCCTAAAGGGCCGGGGGGTAGCCCTCTTTCAGTGGGAAAACAGGCACTAAAGGCATGTTGCTGGCTGCAGCCCCGTCTCAGAAATCCAGCCTACCAGCCCCACATCTGAAAAGTTCGTGCTGGAATCCCACTGCAGTGACGGCACATGTCTGAGTGGTTTCCTGAAGCGGGAGGACTTCGGTGGAAGTCAGCGTCTAAAGTGCAGCCTCATTACAGGTCTTTGCAGATCAGGGCCTAAGGTGATGCTGAAGTCGCCATGCTCGGGATTGGTGCCGGTTTGCCTGTTCACTTCTCACTGGTGTAACTACCTCAGTGTCGGGCAAACCCTTCATGCAGGCTCCTCGTGAGACATTCCCTTATCGAGGCAAGTTTTTATTGCCAGACCTTTGGTACGACAGCGATGCTCCAAAGCCTCGTTTAATTAACAAGTCTATTTATAAGCAACCCCCCACCCCTCCCCCTTTTTAAAAATCTGAAAAATGGAGCATATCACTACAGATAATGAAAGCAAACGGCCATCATTATTCACTCCCTACAGCTAATTCGTTTTACATAGAAAACTTGCCTCGCAGACCATTCTTTTGAGTGACAGCACCCAAGATCAATAAGCCAGACTATCCCCACGGAAACCTATCAGTGTTTTGAATAATTCCCTCCCACTCCCCAAGGGCCAGCCCCCACCCACAGGGTAAATCATATCCTATTCCGTGTAAAGGCACCACGGGATTACACAGCAGGTGGGCAAATCCGGGGAAAGGGAGGTAGCAGAGCTGTTCTGGAAGGAGTTCCTACAAGAGCACAGGATGCCAGGCGGGCCTCAAGACTGTTTTTGTGACTCAAATGTGTTTATATTCAGGGTAGGAAGCTAGAGATTTTTTACCTTGGTATCAGTCCAGAACAAGGATTTGAAACTGAAAATCCCAGCACAGCCAGGCAGACTGGAAGCAGTCCTGTTGAAGTCATTGGGCCCGATTCTCCTTTCATACTGGAGCAAGCCAGGGGAAGTCAGCGAGGCAGTTACCCCATTGGCATCAATGGAGCTATGCTGATTTACCCCACTTGAGGATCTAGCCCAAATAATTTAGACAAGTGGAAAAGTGGACTGAGACAAGAATGAGGCCCATTGTATGACCCACATTCTCAGCTGGTATGAACAGGAGTAGGTCAATCAAAGGATCCATGCTGATCTACACCAGCTGGGGGTTTGGCCCTGCAAGTGCAGGAAAAAGCATTTACATGGAATACACTATGCAGGGGCTCTCATTTACCCCTCTGTTACAGCGGAATTATGCTGGCATATCAATGGGTAAAACAGTTCGGATACAGAACTGAGATCCTGGAGTCATGAACCAGGTCCAGAGAGCGATATTGATCAGTCTACTAAAAGATTATGCCAAGCAAAAGGGAAAAAAAAATCAACACCGCATAAATGGTGAGAGGTGACCCTACCAATCCTGCTGAACAAATTCAGGGTAATAACACGATGATATCATAACACAGATCTGGGCCTAGGTTCTCTTCTTATATTTGGGGTAACCCCACTGGCTTCAATGGAAACACTTTTGATTTACACCAGTGTCAGTGTGAAAAGAATCTATCCCACGACTTTTAGCTCGATAGCATCGCTTTAGCCCCATGGCCTCGGCAGCAGATGCACTAAGTGTTGTTTTGCTGGACGCCTGTTCAAATGGAGCTTGATCTTGGCTTCTAACTGTATTAAAAAAAAACCAAAAAAACATCCCAACCTCCTGTTTCCCCAGGAACAGAAACACGAAGTGGCACCAGATAGATAAATTAATTTTAAAATGGCTTAAATATTAGCAGTCCCTCTTATTTAAATAACTGGATTTTCATTACGAGTTTTAATTACATCGGACGTGTAGAAGGGACGTGTCTTGTTTCATTTTAAATGTTTATCTTGCCAGAGTAAACCCACATAGTATATTCCATGTAAAATCAGCTCCCTTTGCTAAGGCTGATCAGTCTGGCCCCAACACAATGCAAAGTGGTGATGTATGGCACATCGCGTTCCTGTACGTGTTTCAATTACAGACTCCATGCAGCGTCCATCTCGATTGTCCCCCCGCATCCTGTCAGGTGAGAGTGAATCAGGCACCACGCTTGGGATACGGGTGTGCGTTTTGTCTCCTACAGTGTGAACTTCAGCCCTGAGCAGAAGAGGCACAGGGTTCCAAGCACCACGCCAGTCCCTTACGTGACCCAGATTTTCTGAAGCGCCCACAAGTTTTGGGTGTCCAGCTTGATTGTCAAGGGAGCTGAACGCCCATGGCTCCTGCTGGACTTCAAAGGGAGCTGCGAGTGCTCAGCACCTCGGAGAATCAGTCCCACCTTGTCTCAAACTGGGCACCCAAAATTAGCGGTCATTGCTGACTGTCTGGGCCTAAACCCTGGTCCGGCCCTCTGCACAGCAGTGAGTACCATCAGTGCGGTCTCCCTTGCCAGTCTGGGCCACTGCAGGGCAGCTCTCCAACATTTACCTAGATTCATCTGAGTTTCAGTTTTATCCCTTATTTTCTTGTCCCATCCTCACTGACTGATGAGAACAATTAATCCCCATCTTCTCTCCCAGTCCTGGGCATGTGTGATGACGGATATGCCTTCTGAGCCTTCTTTTCCCCTGACTGAGATACCTAATTGCCTTAACCTCTCCCATAAGTCATAGGGCCCAATCCTGCAACCCTTACTCACGGGAGTAGTCCTTGCTCACACGAGCAGACCCACTGATGTCCTCCCATGAGTCTGGGCTGCTTGCAAGTACAGGCTGCAGGACCAGCCTCTTCACTTATCAGTCCTATTCGCATTGTACGGCAGTGGCTGAAAAACCCTAAGGACCTGAGTGTTTCATCTCTTTCATCCTCTGATGTAAGGCAGGAGGAGCTTCCCTGAAATCAAAGGCCCTACACAGTGGTAAAACCCCAGTGAGAGAGCAGAATTGGGCCCTATCCCTTACAGCGAGCTACTGCTGGGCACAGCCTTTGAATTGGGGGCAGGGGGGTTCTTTGTTTTCAATGAGGGATGTTTCCCAAACCTTCTGTTATTTCAGCTGCTGGCCTCTGCCGGCATCACCCCATGACCTGGCTCCCGAAGCAGAAGGTAGGACTCTTGCTGTGCTCGAACCGTGGCTGAACGGAGGAGAATAAGTGCCCTACTCGTGTTAAATGTGCTACTCCTGCCACGGGGACCCTGCCGACCCGTCGCCGTTTTGGGCACAGCGTCACGTCACCGACTGCTATTCAAACTGTGCTCTAGTCTGAGGGCTCCCCGCCGCCCCCAGGAGGCTGCCTGTGGAACTGCTGCCGAGCCGGAATTGGAGCCAACAGGCCACACGGACAGCTCCAACCCTGCAGTCTTGACTCAGGAAGGGCCTCCAGGGGGTTCGCTAGGAGTTCTGTCTGAGGAAGGATGACAGGATTGATCCCCGGATTAAGCAGCCTGGATTATCCCTCCATAAGAGTCTGTCTACACTGCTGCTGGACACGTGCTTCCCGGCGCGGGGAGACTGAGGCGTCCTAGTGCTGCTCAGGCTAGCACGCTCAAAGTAGCAGCGTAAGCGGGGACAGCGCGCATGGCCGCTCGGGCTAGCCACCCGAGGACAAACAGGCCTGGGTCCCCAGGCACGTATGTGGGTGGCTAGCCCAAACCGCTGTCCAGGCTACCCCGAGCTATAAGGCTATTTTCAGCGCACCGGTTCAAACACAGCTAGTACATGTGTCTGCCTGCCCTGGGAAGCACCGTCCCAGCTGCAATGTGAGGGACTTTATCTTTGTCGAGCCCCCCTCAAAGATCAGCTTCTGCTCCGACTCTTAACAACTGAGAACTCCTGTCCCTTTGGGAATGTGCCAGCCGTGACATCCTTCTGTGAACGCTCCTGCAGATTTCAGACTCCCAGCAAAGGGACAAGGTTCAGCCCTGCCCTAGCTGACGCAGTCAGTGAGAGCCACCTGTGTTGCCCTCTCAGAAGGACTCCTGAGTCCCACAGAGAGGGCAGAGCTGATGCCACAGATGGCACTTTGCATCTCCTCCGGGGCCTAATCCTTCAGAGTGGTCCCAATGGGAGTTGAGGGCACCCAGCACCTCCCGGGACAAAAATGTTTTGTGCCCTTTCTCGCAGAGGGCAATGGGCCACTGGGGAGTGCTGACATCCAGCGTGGTCTCCCGCCAATGACAGCGGCTTGCTGACTGCTGCATGAAAAAATTCAGCATCAAACTTTGCCCCGGACCTTGCCATCTATTGAAGGGTTTGGGTAACTTGTGCCAGCCTCTAAGTGTGGGGTTCTCAGAGGAAACTTTCTTGGAGACAGGTTGTCTCATCACTGCCCACTGCAGGGTCTCTTCAGAAGCAGCTTATAATGGCCATGGTCAGAGATGGGGTACTGGAATGGACAGATTCTTGGTCTGATCCAGTCTGGCAATTCCTGGGTTCCTAAGTCTAGTTAGGTTTTAGATGTTTTCCTTGAAGATCACTTTCCTTTTACCCCTGAAGGAAACAATCCCCACATCCTTCTCCCACATGCATAGCATCTGCGCAAATATCACTCCTCTCTCTTCGGGCAAGAATTCAAACCATGCGTTTTTATTCTTCTCCACACCCCAGATGGTTGTTGTAGCATTAGAGAGAGGCGGGGGGCGGGGGGGGGGAAAAGCAACAATGTGTGAAAACAATAAAGGAGAGATTTAAAAGGGAAGTGCCGATGGAAATAAACGGCTGAGAGCAGCTGGCTTCTTCCTAATTTGATCTTTTCAAAAATGAAGGCTTACAAGTGAGACCCACTAGGTGATGCATTTCATTTATCGTCGGGTTGCAAAGAAGGCTAATTTTCCTTACTGTAGTCGCTGTTTTCGTCCTTGGTCCCATCAATCGTACCATCTGGGTGCATCTGCAAGAAGTATTCCTGCTGGCTGAATAACCTTGTCACAATTCCTTTCAGCTGGGGTTCTACAAAGATAATAATAAGTATTAGATACACAAAATATACCAGGAGTGGCAAGAGAGGTCAGTTGCTCAGCTACTGTAAACTCCTAAGTAAATAAACCAGGATTCTGGTAGATAACTTCCTGTGGTTCCTTGCATGTTGGATTGTAAAGCAGGCATATAAAATGGAGCTCAGGCGAGTAGGTAAAAAGAAAAGACACCAATAGTATAGCACAGGGTTAAGAATTTAAGAAAATTCATTTAGAAGAGCTGCCTTATTGCAAGTCATACACATCCTCCTAAGCAAGTGCCAATGAACCCTTTAGACTATTCCATCACGTATAAACCACAGGGGCTCTCAAATTGTGGGTCGGGAGCCCATTTTGATCGGGTCGCCAGGGCTGGCGTTAGATTTGCTGGGGCCCAGGTCCAAAGCTGAAGCCCGAGCCCCACTACGTGGGGCCAAAACCAAATCCCGAGGGCTTCAGCTCTGGGCAGCAGGGCTCAGGTTACATGCCCCCAGGGTTGTGAGTTCAATCCTTGAGGGTGCCATTTAGAGATCAGGGCAAAAACTGGGGATTGATCCGGCTTTGAGCAGGGGGTTGGACTAGATGACCTCCTGAGGTCCCTTCCAACCCTGATATTCTATGATTCTAACCCGGGGCAGCAAGCTCGGGCTTTGGTTCCCACTCCTGGGGTCATGTAGTAATTTTCGTTGACAGAAGGGGGTCGTGGTGCAAGAAAGTTTGAGAACCGCTGACATACCATTTCTTTACCAGAAAAGCTGGTTTAGAAATAATGTAGGGAGTTAATAAAATTATATTAATAATATGATTATAAATTAATATGAATAAAAGCAAGTTATTAGTGACTTAATAGGAAATTTCCCCAGTGCAGTATATCATGATGTAATCAGTTTCATGACTTTGATGCACCGAGTGAGATTGTTTAATAAGCCATTATATAACTCCGGTCAGGCTGTGTCAGTGTTTCCATTAGGAGCCCCTGTTTCCAACAGTTTACCACTGGGCTGTATACATTTCCTTTGAGAATGACACGAAGAGCCCAGAGACACTGCATTCCTTTTGCAGACAGTGTGTGCGTGGACATCTCTGGGAGCTCTGAATGCAGGAGGACAGCAGGAGCAGAGAGTTAGTGTGAAAGGGCTCAGCTTAAAACCATGTTGCCAATTTAAGAAGAGAAAAGTATCATTTTATAGTTTGCAGCAGGAATGGCATTTTAGAACTGGTGAACGTGATCTTCTACGCCACTGTGCTTAACAGAGTGACTGTGGGATGTTAATTCTAGGCAGGGTTCCTTGGTATAATGCTGGTGCTCCTCTGAGGTAGAGGTAGGAAGAAGATGATTATTAAAAACTTATACCGTGGTGTTTAGAGTGTTTGCCAGAATGATGTCCCTAGACCACCAGTTACCCATTACCTCATGCTGCAAATGGGGACACCATTATATTGTCAGGTACATGTGTCATTCCAGTAATATCAGAGACCAGTGCCCCTGATTCCTAGTCTCATTACAAATCTGACAAACCTTATGTCAAGCTTGGCTCAAGGTTCAACATTTATGAGCTTTCTGGCCAATCCTGGCCTAGTTTGGAGTCGGTTTGGGCTGATTTATGGTTTTGAGTGGTAATGATATGGGTCTTGCCATTTCTGCAGGTTTCCCCATCAGTTGAGTTTTAGCTGGAGTTTCCAGCCCACTCCCCAAATTCACAGAAAACTGAAAAGAACTAAGCTGCCAACAAAAGTTGCCAAGTTTCTCACAGCCCTAATAAAATCTGATCACCATGGCGTTCCTTGGGTTGCCTTTGCTTTCTGGTTTCCTCTGACATACGCGGGCGGAGAAGAACCTCCCGTCACAGGGGGCACGTTCTATACACGAGGGGAAACCCTGCCTGGCACATTCCAGAGCTGCCATCTGCACTTTGGCTTTCACACACTATGTTTGGGTTGGAGCTTCTCAGTGAAGCAGTGGGATTTTGATCAGCCCGGTTATGTCTCAGGTAGGCACCTGGACCTTCAGATGCTTACACCTGAACTAAATCCTAAACCCCTGAATGCTCAGACCTGCACACAACAAGCATAAGCTTGGTATTCTCTTAGGGAGATTCTCCCCACAACCCGGAATAGTTTTTTGGAGGGGGGGGGGGGCTTAGGAATACGTTAGCATGGGATGGGAGCAGAGGGTGACCTCTGAGTCCCATACTGAGTCTCTCCCCTTCTCTTTGAAAGCTCTTGGATTTCTTGCAGTTTGCTCATCATTACTCACACCTGCCTACTGCTGATTTAACAGCCCCGGGCACAGAAAGCTTCTGTCTGACTACCTGACTACAGAACAGGTGTAAGTAGCTCTAGCTAGTGCTGGCTCCCCCATGTGGCCTGGCCAAGGCATCACAAGCATGATCTGGGGGCAGCAGCCCCAACTGTGGAAGGCAGGCAGGCTGAACGGACCCTTTGTTGATTGACCTATCTACTGAGGACGCCAGCAGAGGAGGCGGGGAGAGTTAAGGACATTTTAACTGGGAGCCAGGATATGACCACCCACTTCTTTGGCACAGGTCATCAAACGGCCATCAGATGGTAACGGCACCAGTTACTAGCATCCAGGGAATGGATTGGAGCTGCTGGCCCAAAGGCAAACTGCAGCCCCTGGTTTTAAGCAGACTCCCTGCTTGTGTGAACCTGAATTTGGCCATATATTTCGGAGTCGTTTCCTCTTACAGCAACAAAGATTGAACAGGTAATTGTATTGCAGCTTTCTCGAGTGCCGCTGCCCCTTACGCGGCAGCAATTTTCAGGAAAGACTGTTCGTTCGTGGGAAATACATCAAAGGCAGCACATCATCCAATTAAGGTGGAGGAAATGTCTGAATAAATCAGAGCAAGAGGCAGCTCATGTGTCAGACAATAAAACAACATGAGACGGTCTGGGAGTTTCGCGAGAGGAAAGGATACCGAAAGATCCTTCAACTCTGGCCAGGCTGGTGATGTGATTTAAAAACTGCACAATCAAACACAGGCTTCATATTGACAGGTTTCAGAGTAGCCGCCATGTTAGTCTATATTTGCAAAAAGAAAAGGAATACTGTTGGCACCTTAGAGACTAACCAATTTATTTGAGCATAAGCTTTGAAGTGAGCTGTAGCTCAGGAAAGCTTATGCTCAAATAAATTGGTTAGTCTCTAAGGTGCCACTAGTCCTCCTTTTCTTTTAGGCTTAATATTGTAATTCTCTTATTTGTCCAAAGCTCCTTCAACAATATTGCCCCAAGTTACAAGCACTAAAAGAAACATGCAGTTACTAAGAACAAAATCCAAGCACGCACCATGCCTACCTCCAAAAGGGCTCCCCTAATTAGGTTCCTTTCCGCAGCTCATGCTTTCCCCAGGGCCTGAACTGAAGTTGACTTTCCTCTCTCAGGTCTCTTATTTTATACCCTGGTGCGGGGGTTCCCAGCTTTCCCTGCTCTTAAAAGGGACAACACACTTCAGCACAAAATCCTTTCCTATCGCTGAGCTGCACAACTCTGCACACCCTTCTGTTTTGCTTCCAGATCCGCTTTCCTGCTCTGTGAAAATGGGATGGGATTGATGTGGCCAAAACATGCTCCTCAGTGACTTGGCTTGCAGCACTCACGCTCTAGTGCAGCAAAGCAAACGCATTTAAAAAGACAAACTTTACCTCCCCTTATTTCACTGTATCGATGGAATAGATTTGAGAAACTCTCTGAAACGAACACCTCGATTCAGATCAGAGTGCGACAGCGAAGAAGCCCCATAAAGACCAAACCATGGATAGGGCAGCAGAGACTTAACAATGTTCTAATTAAAAGGAAGGCAGGGTACAGCTTTGTGGAGCGACTGTTTGAAACACTTTGAAATGGCAAGTGTCGATGCTGAAGCGATAGCCCTTAATGACCAAGACAGGTGCTCTGTTACGGAGAGTAAACACAAGGCATAGAGCCCACTCTGCCTCCAGATGCACCATTATTAATTATGTCTATTACAGTAGCACCCACTCAGACTGGAGTCCCATTGTGCTAGGCGCTGTACACACACATGGAGAGAGTCCCACTCTGAAAATCTTACACTCGAACTAGTCAAGAGACAAAGAGGGCAGGAGGAAAAACAGGATCACAGAGAGGGGAAGGGACTTTCCCAAGGTCCCCTAACAGGTCAGGAACAGAATCCAGGTCTCCTCAGACCCAACCCAGCACCCTACCCACTAGATCACACTGACATGTTTGGTTTACACAGCTCTGGGGTCTCCCACTAGATAAGAGATTTCACCTACATCAGCCTTACCCCCTCTCACAAGCATTGAGAATACTGCAGTCTGTCAGTGCTATGGGTCTCGTTTAACCCCACCCCTCACCCACTGCGTGTGGTGCTCACCAGCCTGTCTGCTGGTTCTCAGAGCCCCATGATCAGGTGACTGCCCTGTACAGCTGTCAGTTTCCTATCAGTGCATTAGTCTATATTTAGGGTTCCCTGCCCTCCTTGAGTGCATGGGAATCCCAGAGAAGGCAACAGGATTTCTGTGCAGTGAGCGAAGGGAGACTCTTGCCCATACGCTATCAGTAGGGCTGCTGCACTTTAGGACACCAAAACTAAGGGCCATATTTTGGCTGCTCTTCTACAGATGCACAGGGATCAGCACCCCCCCACCCTCCCACACACACACACACACTTTGCACTCCTCTCCAGCTGCTGGCCAGAACCCTTCACTTCATGTGCTCATGAGAACCCAAAACAGAAAGAGACAAAGCAGGCTGCTCTCTAAAAGCATGGCCATAGCAAACAAAGCCTTGGTCTGTCTAACCCATCCACCAGTTGACTAATCTGAGCTCTGCAGGACCATGCTGGGGATCTGAGCACCCGCTGAGCTTCCATCACAGAGGACACAATGCCAGGAACCCCATTCCCTGCCAGCTCAAACAGCTTCTCTCATCACAACTCCATGCTATTGCATTGAGGGAAAGAGGTGAATCAGGCTCCACATCACTTAG